ATATACATGTCATTTTTCTCTTGTTTTCTTTTTTTGTTGAGGTATAGTTGATTTACAACATTATATAAGCTTCAGGTGTATGACATAGTGATTCACAATTTTTAAAGATTATGCTGCATTTATAGTTATTATAAAATATTGGCTCTATGTCTTGTGCTGTACCATATATCCTTGTAGTTTATTTTACACACAGGAGCTTGTATCTTTTAATCTCTCAGCCCTATCTTGCCTTTCTCCCCACCCCAACTCCCTACTGGTAACCACCAGTTTACTCCCTAGATCTGTGAGTCTCTTTCTGTTTTGTTATATTCATTAGATTCCTTTATTTTTTAGATTCCATATGTAAGTGATAATATATAGTATTTGTCTTTGTCTGACTTATTTCACTAACCATAATACTCTCCAAGTCCATCCATGTTGTTTCAAATGGCAAAATTGTATTCTTTTTTATGACTGAGTAGGTAGTATTCCATTGTGTGTGTGTGTGTAACACCACATCTTATTTATCCATTCATCTGTTGATGGGCACCAGTTGCTCCCACATTTTGGCTATTATTGCTTCCATATTTTGGACATTGGCACGCATGTATCTTTTTGAATTAGTGCTTTTATTTTCTTCAGATCCATACATGAGTGGTATTGTTGGATCACATGATGATTCTATTTTTAGTTGTTTACAGAACCTCCATACTGTTCCACATTGGTTACACAAATTTACATTCCCACCGACAGTGTATGAGGGTTCTCTTTTCTCTACATCCTTGCCAACATTTGTTATTTGTGGTCTTTTTGATGATAGCCATTCTGACAGGTGTGTCCATGTTATTTTCTTAAAGGTTGTTGAGTAATTCGGGGAAGAGCCTCATTTGAGTTTGAAACTAGGGCAGGGGCAAAACGGTGAGGGATGTAGTCAGGAAGGACTGCTTTTTCTCATCAGTAGAAAGGACTTGGAAATCAACTGGATATATTCGCAGAGGGCAAGGGAGGGAGGCGTTCAGAGTTTTAACTAAAATGGTAGGGCTGCTTAGCCTGATGAGAAGTGCAGAGGGAAGGGTTATGGTACAGGGAGAGGGTGTAATTACCCCGTCCCTCGGCTTCTCAGAGGACTCTGTTTATCTCCTTATTACACTACATTTTTAGCACCAGTGCTGTGTGTCACACTTGTGGCTGTCTCCGTCTCCCCAGAGGGCAGCAACCCTGACTGATTCACTCCGTCTGGATTCTCAGCAACTGACCCAGAAGAGCAGTCACTAGGTTGGAGCTATTGGCATTGTCACACCTCTCAGCTCGTGTCATAGCAAGAGCTAGCATTCAAGCTCATCTTTTAGGTCAGGCACTGCTAAGAGTTTTATGTGTATCAGATATATAATCCTCATCATGGCCCTATGAGGTGAAATTATTAATGAATTGTTTAACAGATACAGAAACCAAGTCACAGGAAGGTTAAAGTAAGATGCCCAAGGTCACACAGCTCTTAATCCCTATATGTTTTTTATAAGCATAGGAAACTTGAACAACTTCTGTGGATTCATTGTGGCAGAAGCATGCAATCCCATATGATAGATGAGGAAAGTAAGGCCCAGAGGGGTGGTTTTCCCAGGGTTACAGAAAGGAAGTACTAAAAATGAGGTTGAAGGACTTCCCTGGTGGTCCAGTGGTTTTGAATCTGCCTGCCAAAGACATGTATGTGTTTGATCCCTGGTCTGGGAAGATCCCACATGCTATGGGGCAACTAAGCCCATGCACCACAACTGCTGAAGCCCGCACTCTAGAGCCTGTGCTCAGCAACTAGAGAGTGGCCCTCACTCACTGCAACTAGAGAAAGCCTGCGTGCAGCAACTAAGACCCAGCACAGCCAAAAATTAATAATTTGAAATATACATATATAATAAAAATGAGGTTGAAACAAGGGTAAGATGGCAGCATGGATGGATCTTAAAAGATAATGCTAATTGAATAAATTAATAAGTAGAAACATATATTAACACATGTAACTATTTGTGGCTCAACTGGTAAAGAATCAGTCTGCAATGCGGGAGACCTGGGTTTGATTCCTGGGTTGGGAAGATCCCCTGGAGAAGGGAAAGGCTACCCACTCCAGTATTCTAGCCTGGAGAATTCCACAAACTGTATAGTCCATGGGGTCGCAAAGAGTTGGACAGGACTGAATGTCTTTCACTACTACACTACTATTTGTGTAAACATTTGTGTACTATTACATACATAGTGGAAGTCGCTCAGACGTGTCCAACTCTTTGTGGCCCCATGGACTGTAGACTGCCAGGCTCCTCTGTCTATGGAATTCTCCAGAAGAGAATACTGGAGTGGGTAGCTGTTCCCTTCTCCAGGGAATCTTCCCAACCCAGGGATTGAACCCAGGTCTCCTGCATTGCAGGCAGATTCTTTACCTTCTGAGCCCCCAGGGAAGCCCATTACATACATAACATATATATAACACATATGTAAACACATAAACTATTTCTGTAAACATTTGTGTACCGTGTACTACACATTTTTCAAAATATATACGAACCCCCCAAAAATTACACATTTGCACGTTAGAGTGGTTGCCTTAGGATAAGGGGAAAGGAGGGTGCTATGAGGCTGTATTAACTCAGGCTGGCATAACAGAGAACCACAGACTAGAAATCTTAAACAACAGATATTTATTTTCTCATAATTCTGGAGACTGGAAGTCCAAGATCAAAATGCCAGCAGAGGCAGTTTCTGGTGAGGCCTCTTTTCTTGGGTTGCAGACAGCCACCTTCTCACTATGTCTTCACATGGCCTTTTCTCTCTGCATGCGCAGAGATTGCTGGTGTCTCTTCTTATAAGGACACCAGATCTATCCAATCAGGGCCCTACCCTCCTGACCTCATTTAACCTTAATTACCTCCTTAAAGGTCCTACTTCCAAATATAGTCACATGGGGGTTAGGGCTCCAACACATGAAGGTGGGCGGGGGGACACAACAGGGGCTAAATGGGAAATGATAAATAGAACCACAAGGATTGAAGGACGAAAATGGGGTTGGAGCAATAGGCAGGATCTAGACCAAGCAATGGCCTTCCCTGGTGGCTCAGATAGTAAAGAATCTGCCTTCAATGCAGGAGGCGTGGGTTCTATCCCTGGGTCGGGAAGATCTCCTGGAGAAGGGAATGGCTACCTATTCCAGTATTCTTGTCAGGAAAATCTCATGGACAGAGGAGCCTGGCAGGCTATAGCCCATGGGGTTGCAGAGTCTGACACGAATGAGTAACTAACACACACACACACACACACACACACACACACAGACAGACCAAACAATGCTTTATAGGTCATATTAAGGTTCAGAGAGGTCATTCAGTTCATCAATTCTAAAGTTGGGATGTATATATATATATATATGTGTGTGTGTGTGTGTGTTTATGTGCGTGCCAAGCAGGAGATGCAGTTTCGATCCCTGAGTCAGGACGATCCCCTGGAGAAGGAAATGGCAGCCCACTCCAGTATTCTTACCTGGCAAATATCATGGACAGAGAAGCCTGGCGGGCTACAGTCCATGGAGTTGCAAACAAGTCAGGCACAACTTAGCGACTAAACAACAACAATATGTGTACACATATATTAATATATATGTATATATAGTATGTTGTATACATAAATGATTAGCTCCAAAGCCTGTGTCATCGAAAACCACTCTGATTCCTGATAAAAAGTCTAAGTGTGTGCATTTCATCTTACTCTGAAAAAAATGGAGTTCAGAGAGGGCAAATGACTTGCCCAAGATCACACAGCAAGTGGTAGTACTGAGGTCTGGGAAGTTCTTTCTGACTCCAAAGACAAGCTCCTTTTACACATTTTGCAGCCTCCCTGCCTTTTCCCTAACTAACGTCAATCACTCACTCTTTCATGCATTCATTCATCTGGTATATTATTTACTGGCACCTTCTTGGTGCCAGGCCCTGGCACCAGGGACGTAAACATTAGGAAGACATAGTTCCTGCCCTCAGAAAGCTCAGCCAGGAGTAGAAGAGACAGCCAGGTAAGCAAAGGTGGGCATTGGAGGGGCTATGAAAGGTGCTGGGGAGTCCAGAGGATGGAAAATGACTCTACCTTTTGTGGGTGGGGAAGATTTCATAAAGGAGGAAGAAGAACCCTTTGAACCAAACTCTTGAAAGATAGAGTTCACCTGGTGCAGAAGAAGGAAAAGTCCAATATAGACAGAGCCAAGGGTGGTATCCTAGTGACTCAGTGGTAAAGAATCCACCTGTCAATGCAGGAGACATGGGTTCCATCCCTGATCTGGGAAGATCCCACATGCTAAGATCCCACATAACTAAGTCTGTGCACCATTACTGAGACTGCTCTAGAGCCCAGGAGCTGCAACTACTGAAGCCGTTGCACCTAGAGCCTGTGCTTTGCAACAATGAGAAGCCTAGAGAGAAGTCCTTGCTCAGTGAAACTAGAGAAAAAGTCCTTGCAGCAATGAAGACCCAGCACAGGCAAAAATAAAATAAACAAAATTGTAGACAGAGCCGAGGGCGAATCAAAGAGGAGGTGATGAGGTCAGATGAGGCTTTGGCCAGGACTCTCAGACTTGATTCTAAGATCACTGGGAAGTCCGTGAAGGGTTTTGAGCAGAGGAGTGCCTTGGCTAGGATTCTGAAGGCAGGCTCTCTGGCAGTAGTGTAAAGACCTGAAGTCCTTTTTTAAGAATCCAATGCAAAAAAAAAAAAAAAAAGAATCCAGTGCATGAGCTGGGGAGGAAAATTGATGGTCCCTCACACCCTCAATCTCGTTATTGCTTTTGGTCTACTCAGACCCTTGGAAATTGTTTAAATTTTTATTATTTTTTAATTGGAAGATAATTGTTTTACAATGGTGTGTTGGTTTCTGCCATACCACAGCATGAATCAGTCATAACTATGTATATATCCCCTCTCTTTTGAGCCTTCTTCCTACCCCACCCCCATCCCACCCCTTGAGGTCATCACAGAGCACCAGGCTGAAACTTTTTTAAACTATCTTTATCCAAGTCTTCACCTCACTTGCTAGAGAGACCAACCCACTTCCTTCCTCTCTGCTTAAACCCTCCATCAGGGTGATGGAGCCACAGCGGGGCTTGGAATAAAGGTGTACAGAGAACAGAGGGATTGAGGCTTCCTATCGGGGTGATGGGCAGAGGAACCCAGGAATCGAGAACCAGCTGTTCTCGATCTTGGTTTTCCCCACTTCTTTGGGCCAGTTGGAGCATCTCAGCTCCTATAGTGCCCGCCCCCTTGTTTGCCGCCCTCAACTTCCTGCCCCACCAGAGGAAGTGGGGAGAGCCATCAGGTGCAGCAACAGCTATCGGGGCCATGGTGAGTCCTTACGCCCAGGAATCCAGGCATCTCTCCATCCCCAGCCCTTAGGGTAGCCCGGCCCAGGTCAACCCACAGTCGGCTGACTTCTCCTAGCCTCTGAGATCAGGTCATACTGGGGGACTCTGCCTGCCGCCCCCAGCAGCCTCATATCGTCCACCCTCACCAACAGGACAAGGAGTATGTGGGGTTTGCCGCCCTCCCCAACCAGCTGCATCGCAAGTCTGTCAAGAAGGGGTTTGACTTCACACTCATGGTGGCAGGTCTGAGGGTTTTGGAGAGGGGCCTGGTAGGGGGTCCTCAAGAGACCTTGGCTGTCCCCTCACCTGACCAGCTGGGCTTGACCCATCCACAGGGGAGTCAGGCCTGGGAAAATCTACCCTCATCAACAGCCTATTTCTCACCAACCTCTATGAGGATCGGCAAATACCAGAAGCCAGTGGTAAGACGCCCCTTTCCCCACCACACTGCCCAGGCCCTCTGACCCCTCTCCCTTCATGTCCCCAGACTGCACACCCCTCCTTTCCTTCTGGGTCTCCCATGACATTCTGGGGAACGCAGGCAGCTCACTGCTTTTCTCCGAGACTCAGTCTCCTCCCCTGAAAAATGGGTGGGGGGCAACTGTGAGTCTGAGAAAGGAAATTAGTCCTGCTTCAGACCCCTTGCCAGCTCCCTGACCTCTCCCCATCCTCATAGCTCGCTTGACGCAAACGCTGACCATCGAGCGCCGGGGCGTGGAGATCGAGGAGGGGGGTATTAAGGTGAAGCTGACTGTGGTGGACACACCTGGCTTTGGGGACTCAGTGGACTGTTCAGACTGGTGAGGAATGGGGGAGAGCCCAGGGCTCAGCTTCCCAATGTGGCTACTCTGTTGAGACCAAGGGGTCGGATTCAGGGCTGGTCTGCCCTGCCCTACCCATGCCCCCGCAAAAGCGGGAGCTGTTTCCGGTGATCTTGGGGCCCAAAACGCCTTGTGCTTCCCAACATCTCGCCTGCCAGTTTCTTCTGACATCTTTGGTTGGAACCAAAGACCCTGCTTCTCACCCCCACAGTCCCGGCTAGCCTTGCCCCCTTCCCTCCCCTGCGGTCTGGATCTCTGACTGCCAGCGCTCTCCCCACACCCCCAGCTGGCTGCCTGTGGTGCGCTTCATCGAGGAGCAGTTTGAGCAGTATCTTCGGGATGAGAGTGGCCTGAACAGGAAGAACATCCAGGATTCCCGCGTCCATTGCTGCCTCTACTTCATCTCACCCTTTGGCCGGGGGTCTGTGGGACACCCTAGGGGGTTGGGACATTTGGGGAGGGCCGGCGGGAGTCTCTGTACCCTGAAACTGAGCCCTGACCAATTTCTGGGTGCAGGCTCCGTCCCCTAGATGTGGCCTTTCTCCGGGCGGTGCACGAGAAGGTCAACATCATCCCAGTTATTGGCAAAGCAGATGCCCTGATGCCGAAGGAAACACAGGCCCTCAAACAGAAGGTATGTGTGGTGGCCTCTGACCTTTGGTCTGCACATGAAGCCAAAAGTCAAGACGAAAGCTGAACTCAGCTTTGACTTCTTTGGTCTTGGAGTAGCCTTTTCAGAGTGTGACATGTCAGGCTAGAGTGGAAGAAAGTTTTTGAGAAAGGTGGGTCATAAGCTGCCTCAGGAAGCCACATCTCTGGAGGCTCAGAATAAAATCCCTGGACTAGATGCTTGGCTAAGATCTGTCTGAGGGCAGGAGTGTGGACATAACGACCCATGTTCTCCATCTGGCCCCAGGATGCTGACCATGCCCCCATCTCCCCACTTCTTCAGTGCCCTCTCCCACTGTTTCCACTTATGTCTCTCTCTCCTGGTCTTTTGGTGTCTGCTCATCTTCAAAACTTCCCAAACATCAGTCTTTTCTCTTAAGGTCTCAGTTTTTCATCATCTATGTCTCTGTCTCTCATCGTCTGAGATTTTGTTTTCAGTCTTCCTGGATGCCCATCTCTCACCATCTATGTTTTTCACGCCTTCCTCTCTGTCTCTTTCATCCCGTGTCTGTATCTAGATCTCACTGTCTCTGGTCAGGCAATGTCTTTGTGGCTCACAGCCTTTGTGTTTCTGTCTGCATCTGTCTCCTCCAAGATCCGGGAACAGTTGAAGGAGGAAGAGATCAATATCTACCAGTTCCCCGAATGTGACTCTGATGAGGATGAAGACTTCAAGAGGCAGGATGCAGAGATGAAGGTACAGAGGCAAAGCAGGACGGGACTGAGAAGCCAGGGGAGGCGGATGTGGAGGTGGGAGCTGAGAAAGGTTTCTGTCCACCGGGCGGCGAGAGGATGGAGATCGCTGACTCCTCCCCTCCAGGAAAGTATCCCTTTTGCGGTCGTCGGTTCCTGCGAAGTAGTGCGGGACGGCGGACCCCGACCGGTGAGGGGACGCCACTACTCCTGGGGCACTGTAGAGGGTGAGTAAGGGCGGGTACGAGTTCTGAGGCCAGCAGGGAGGCCAGGCCTCCTCCCAGCCAACCGTACCCAACATGTGAAGTTGGGGAAAGTTCTGGTCCCATGGGTCCCAGGAGCCCAAAGAGGGGTCTTTGGGCAGCCGACCCGATCCAAGTTCCCTGACGCTCGAGGGTCCGCCCCCCCAGTGGAGAACCCACATCACTGCGATTTCCTGAACCTGCGACGGATGCTCGTGCAGACACACTTGCAGGACCTGAAGGAGGTGACACACGACCTGCTCTACGAGGGCTACCGGGCCCGCTGCCTACAGAGCCTGGCCCGGCCTGGGGCGCGGGATCGAGCCAGCCGTAGGTGAGAGCCAGCGCGGGCAGTTAGGTGCTTCCAAGGCCCCGCCCTCACTCTCCATGACCTCGACCTTCACCTTCTCTCCCAGAGCCCTTCTTTCCCCATCCCCTTTGCTTACAGCCCTAACCTAAGGATACGGCCTCGCCTCCTAAACTCCAAACGAACTCCAGATCCTGTCTCGCGGCGGTGACTCAACCAAGGCCCTCGCCTCTGATTCCTTTCCTTCTCTCCCATCCCCTTAGTAAGCTTTCCCGCCAGAGCGCTACAGAGATCCCGCTGCCCATGCTTCCTCTGGCCGATACGGAGAAGTTGATCCGCGAGAAAGACGAAGAGGTGAGCTTTCCCCCAGACCAAGACCCCCAAGTCCTCTTCGGAGTCCCTCTCTGGCCTCGCCCGGACTTAATGCCTATAATCTTGCCCCGCACAGCTGCGCCGCATGCAAGAGATGTTGGAGAAGATGCAGGCCCAGATGCAGCTGAGCCAGGCTCAAGGCGAGCAGTCGGACGCTCTCTGAGGCCCCCATCGGGGTTTTCCTTACCTCGCCTCTGCCTTCGGTTCGTCTCTTGTCCAATCCCTGAGGCTCAGGCTGCCAGGCGCCTAATCCCGGAGCCCCAGCCTGTAAGGCCCGCCCTTCTAAGGGGCGGGCTCTCAGGATCTCCCAATCCTGGAATTTGTAGCCCCGCCTTTGGCTCCGCCCCAGTTCACTTCTGGAGCGCGACCTCCTCTCCTAACCCTGAACACCTCCATCCCCTCCCCACTTCTCCCAATCTTGACTTCAATAAAAACTGAGTTTCTCTGAGGCCATGCAAATCTTCTCTTTCCCAGCGGGAATACGTGGCGGGCGTAGCGGGCGGAGCCGCTCCATCCAGGCCTCCGGGCCACTATTTATTCATTCATTTGCTGGGCACTCGTTTCGTGCCAGCCGGTGTTTCCGCCCTCACTCTCCATGACCTCGACCTTCACCTTCTCTCCCAGAGCCCTTCTTTCCCCATCCCCTTTGCTTACAGCCCTAACCTAAGGATACGGCCTCGCCTCCTAAACTCCAAACGAACTCCAGATCCTGTCTCGCGGCGGTGACTCAACCAAGGCCCTCGCCTCTGATTCCTTTCCTTCTCTCCCATCCCCTTAGTAAGCTTTCCCGCCAGAGCATAAACGCACTGAAGGCGCCGCGGATAAGAAACGAGACCCTTTCGATTTATTAGGAGTCTGGGTGGGGAGGTCGGACTGGCAGGAAGGTGTTGACTAGCAGAGGCCGAAAAGGGTCCGCTCTACTCCTGGTCCTTGGCGTCGCCATGCGTGATGACGTAGCAGATGTTCTTGTAGTCTACGTTGCCGCCCACGTCGGGGGGGAAGGCAGCCCACATGTTTCTCATCTGCGGAAACCAGGCCGGGTATCGCCAACTGGTTTCTTACGTTCCCCTTCTCCCATCCCTCCGCTTCTCCTAGACCCCTCCTCCACTCACCTCTTCCTGGGAGAAGCGGTCACACTGCGTGGTCAGCAGCTCCTCCAGGCTGGAGAGAGGTGATATACGGGAGGTCTGAGATTGGACTTCGTGATTCCTTTCCACGCCCTCCCATCTCATCCCCCTTGCCATTCCCAGTCTCGTCTTGAAAACCGGGCTCATTCTGGATTCCTCATTGGTCTCCCAAACACTCTAGCCTCCCCTTTTGCCCTTCTTCCTGTGTTCCATCGCCCATTTCCACAGTCCTTATTTTTCCCTTATCCCTGTTCTATGCGGTGCTTAGTCGATCAGTCATGTCCGACTCTGCGACCCCATGGACTGTAGCCTGCCAGGCTCCTCTCAAGAGCTTCTCAAGGGATTCTCTAGGCAAGAATACTGGAATGGGTACTATGCCCTCCTCCAGGAGTTCTTCTCAACCCAGGGATCAAACCCAAGTCTCCTGCATTTCAGGCAGATTCTTTACTGTCTGAGCCACCCTTATCCCTGGCAGTGCCTAACTCTTGGTGGAAATTGAAAGAGGCTTTCTGTGTGGGAGCAGCTGGAGTGTGTCACTTACAATTGCTTCTTGATGGTGCCTTTCCCCTCAGGGTCTAAGACCTTGAAGGCTCCAGTGATCACATCCTCAGGGTCGGCACCTGGGGGGGGGGGTCAGAGGGCACATGTGGCTGAAGGGTTGCTAAAGGGTCAGTCCCTGAAAGTTCTGAGGAGAGGCAGCTGAGGGGTTGGACCAAGGACACGTCATACTTCATTCACCTTTGAGCTTCTCCCCAAACATGTTCAGGAAGACAGTGAAGTTGATGGGCCCACTGGCTTCCTTCATCATGGCGTCTAGCTCCTCATTCTTCACATTGAGACGCCCTAGAACAGGGTTGGGGAAGCAGGGGCTGGAGTGGGGTCTTGTGGCCAGAGAATAATGCTTCCTATAAATTCAGATCATCCCATCCATTTTTTTTTTTTATCCCATCCATTTTTTATCCTGGATAGACTGAGTCCCAAGGTGGACCTGGCAGGACTGGGACCCACAGCTGCTGAATGCCCAGGACTCTGCAGCCTTGAGTCTTTACAGGTTGAGGAGGCAGCTCACCCATGGCTGCAAAAGTGTCCCGCAGGTCTTCCTTGTCAATAATGCCATCCCGGTTCTGGTCAATTACTGTGAAGGCCTGTGGAGGGCAGAGGCAAGGAGAGATTATGTCTCCTGTGGCCGAGTTTCAGCATCCTTACTCTAGGCAGATCAGATTCTGAGATTCTGGTCGCCAGCCAAAGGTCCTCTTACACTCCAAGCAGGGAGGGGAGTAAGGAATCTAAGCCCTTCTCCTTCCCCCAAACAGGTGCACATTCCAGGGAGGGGGGGGCAGCAAGGGGTGCCTTTGGTCAGCCTTCAGTCTCCCTTCTCCCCACACTTACCTCCTTGAACTCCTGGATTTGGGTCTGATCAAACATGGAGAAGACACTGGAGCTTCCGCCCTCTGCCACTGCCCTTCTCTTGGCCTTCTTGGGTGCCTGAAGGATGAGGGTTGGGCAGAGGGGTTCGTGAACCCATCCTTACTCCTCTGGAGGCAATGAACTCTTAGAGTTCATTCTTCTAAAGCAACTCTTCTGACTCTAGGCTTCCCCTTCCTTACGACTGTTTGCTGAGGGGACTTGTTTCAGTTGGATCGTCAAATTTCTATCTGAAGCCCTCAAGTGCCCATCCTTCCACCCTACCCAACAAGTGAAACGTTTCTTGCTTTCTCAGTGCCCTGAACCTGGCTCCTCTGAGTCCTAGACTTGCTGTGTGTCCCTGATCCACTCATTCACTTTGTCTGAACCTCTACCTTCTCATTTATAAAACGGGAGTGGGAATCCTGGCCTGGCTGGTTCCAAGGGATTTAGAAAGGTGGAGGAGTGTGCTTTGAGAGGGACTGGGCTCCTTCGAGTGGAGTGTCTGGGCAGATTATCCTTGGTTGTGTCCTTTAGGGTATCATTCTATATATTCCCCATTAACGATACCAAGAAAGGGAAGATTCATCTTTTTTCCTCTTGCCAGACTTGGAATCAGCTCCTTTCTTTCAAGGGGTGAGGCTGCCCTGAGGTCTGAGAGATCTGAGCTTGGGCTGGGGCATTCTCACTCACCATGTCTTAGGTCTCCCGGGGGCAAGGCAGTGGCTCTGGCTGGAAAGGAGCAGAGAGTCCGTCTGGAGCACTCCCTCTGGAGTTATATAGTCCTGCCCCAGGGAGCCCTTAACACACCACTGTAACCTTAGCCCTGTGGGTGCCCACCCCAGATACCAAAATAGCCCAGCTCAGGGCCTCTCCTTTCTTGGAGGGCCAGCAGCAGCTGGAGCCTAGGGAGGGAGAGAGGAGGGAGGGTGTCTTGGGCTGCATGTCTCGCTAGGACCTGGGCAGGAAGGGATGTTCTTTCTCCCCAAAGGAGGCTGGAATGTGCCAGAGTTCAGAGGGGCCCAGGCTGAGACACCGGACTAGGAGAGAGAGGAACCAGGCTCCTGTATCCCTGCAAGGTTTAAACCCAGTAAATTTATTAAGCATCAATAGTGTACCAGGCACTGGACCATACTTCAGTCTCCCTTCTCCCCATATTTACCTCTTTGAACTCCTGGATCTGGGTCTGATCAAACATGGAGGTGTTGGAGAAGGGAGGCTGAAGGCTGACCAAAGACACCCCTTGCTGTCCCTCCCCCCACCACGTGGGTGCACTTGGACAAACACAGTCCCAACATTGTGGAGTTCACAGTCAAGAGTATGTATGTGTTGGGGTAGTGACAGAGGTTAAAAGTGGGAGAGAGCTATCTGGGGAAGCTGAAGGATCAGGAAGTCTTCTATATCCCCTTCAAGGAAAGGGAGGAGTTTGTGAGGGAAGATATGGGGCATGGAATCACTAAGTATGAAGAGACTAGACAGCCTGGAGCAGAGAGCCTGCTCTGTGACATTGGGCTTTGTGCGCCCTGGTTTCCTCCTCTGTAAAATGGGAAGGTAATTCCCAGGCCAAAGAACTTATGGATGTGAACATTATTGGGAAACAATTAGTGATGTATGATCATTATAATTTTTTTTTTTTTGGTAGCACTGCACAACTTCTGGGATCTTAGTTCCCCGACTAGGGATTGAACCTGGGCCCTCGGCAGTGAAAGCCTACAGTCCTAACCACTGGACATCCAGAGAATTTTTACAATCATTACGATTAATATTCAGGCCCTGCCTCGGTAGAACTTACAGTCTAGCTGAGGAGAGAGGGTAAATGCAGAAAATGACACACTAGTTGGAATATAGATGTAGAGGGCATAGCGGGCCTGTGTAGGAGTACTGAAATGACCTTATGAAGGCCCTATAAGTGTCAGGTGGAAGTGGAGGAACAGACATGCTAAGTGGAGGGCAAGGATGGGCAAAGGCCTGGAAAAATCAAAGATCAGAAGTGTTTAGCTCACCAGAATTGGGATGGGGCTTGAGCAGAGGATACAAGAGGCTGGACACCAGAGATTGGAGGGTCTTCAATGCCAGACTGAAGGTTGAGACCTTGGGAGCCTTGAAAAGCTTTGAAAAAGCTTTGAAACAGGAGAAGGACATGGTCTAGTGTGAGTCTATAATCACTTTTTTGGATATGGATGTAAAGTTGGAACTCAAGAGGAGGGGAGTCAAAGACACCAATAGAGAAGCTAATTAGTCACCTCCACCTTGGTGGCTGGATGGCCAATGGCTTCTCTCTCCAATCTGGGCAAGAACCAGCTTGGTTGACTGTGTGATTTTGAGGTTCCCTCTCCCAACCTTCTGGGCCTTAGTGCCTCAGTCCATTCCATACAGTGGAGGTCTGGGGAAATAGTGGCTGAGGAAGCCCAGGAGGTTCAAGGTTGGCAAGGACACCCATGTCTCCTCCTCCTCCTGCTCCCTTTGGGACCTGATGTCCTGAAGAAGTTGCCTCCTCCCCGCTCCCTCCTCCAGACTCATGCCAATGCCTCTAAGACAGTTTCTTTTCTGGGCACTGAGGTCGAGCCACCTGTTGTCTCTAAGAAGGGAGAAGGAGCCACCCTAAACTTAGCAGCTGCCCTTGGCCTCCTGCACTGGCCCCTCCCTGCCTCAGTCGACAGCTGACTGACCTTATAAGGTTACCATGGGGGTCCAGGTGCAGGGAAGAGCCCACTTCTTACTGGGTTGTGGGAGGGGAGGAGAACTCAATAGAAGGGAATGGAGGAAGTGCTTAGAAAGCTTGGGCCTAATGGAAAGTGGGGAGTTTGAAGAGAAGGAGATCAAGAGCGGCAGATCTCAGACACTGGAGTTCACAGGATCTGAGTCTGAGCTGGGAAAAGGAGCCTCAGAGAACTCAGAGACCAAGCAACTGGGAAGCTGGGAGCTAGCTAGGCCTGACTGAAATTTCAGGATGGTGGACTTTGCACAGAAATTGGAGCCCTTCTGGGGCTGAATCCTGAATCCTGGGCCTCAGGGAAATGGAGCCCAGAGAGAGGAGGGGCTGGTAAAGTCTGGGCTTTGTGTTTGTGGTCTAGGGTAGCTGGGGTGGGGTGAGGCGGGGAGTAGGGGGATTATGAGATTGGAGTCTGGTTTCCTAGCAGAGAAGGAGCACAGAACAGTGAGTGTGTCAATGAGGAGAGAGGAGTTCCGAGGGTTTGTTCTGCATCCCCCAAAGAATAAGAACAGAGATACGGGAGTTCATGGTAGTGGGAATCCATGATTTGGGGTTTGGGCTTCCCACTAGAATGGAGGGGGCACTCGGAGGATGAGTTCTGAGGAACTGGAGCCTGGATTCTGGGAGGAGCTCAGATAGATGGATCTGAGGACAGGGACTTAGGGGTTGGGATACCCGCAGGAAACGGTGGATCCAGAAGGACGAGTTACAGGATTTGGGGGGTCTTGTTATAGTCACCTGGGGTTTGTAGCGGACTGGGATAAGAATGAGAGACAGAGTGAAGGGCAAGAGTACTTGATCAGAGAGCACCTAATCAAGTGGTGAGTTTGGGAGCTGAATGGAGAACTGGCCCAAGAAAGGACTCAGGCAGGGCAGCGTGGCGCTTATTGGCTAAGGGTTTCACCAATGCCCCCGAACCCCGCCCCTCTCCGCGCTGTCCCCAACTGTCACTCCCTCCCGCGCTTGTCTCCGGTTGTCACCGACATCCCTGGCTTGGCACCGCCTGCTGGTAGCACCCCTTTCCTTTGAATGCTGCCATTGGCTGAGACAGCTGTCTCTCTTCCTCCCTTATCCCTAAAGTGAGAGGATGCATTCATTGGCTGACGAGGCAAATTAATCGCAAATTTGGCCCGCCCCTCGCAGCTGTCATTCCTTCCGGACCTTCTTGGAAGACCCAAAGAATCCCTCAGCTGCTATTGACTGCGGATGCTGTCTGTCACCGCCCAAATAGCTGTCACTGTCTGTCAACCTAACCTCCGCCCACTTCCCTTTTCATTGGCTCCCTTTAACCATTCTTTTTAGATAGGCCCGCCTCTTCTCGCACAGCACCCGCCTCCTTCCACGGTCTGTCACTCTTCAGTCATTCTTATTGGTCAGGAGGTTTGGCTTCCCGCTTTTCTATTAGTTAATCCCTTCGTCCCACCTCCGCTAGGTTTCACTCGCCCTCTCATTGGTTTTATAACCCTCCGCCTTCTCTGTTTCCTCTTCCCAAATTACCCACCCCCTTCCCACCTCCAGCCCCACCCACCCTCCCAACGATTGGCAGAAACCCAGTTCCCTCTCTCCTATTATTCGTCCAAGACCTCTGACGAGGCGGGAGAAAAAAGGAGCGCGATGGGACTGCCCGCGCGCAGGCGTAAAGCGCCGAGACGCAGGCCGCTGGGCCGGCACCAGGGCGTGTGCGCAGGCGCGAGGTCGGCCGCTCGCCCGAAGCGGGAGGGAGGGGGCGGCGGCGAGAGAGCGAGAGGGAGGTAGAGGGCGCGAGCGAGACCCCGGTGGCCTGGCGCCCCGGGACCCTTTTCCCGGCTACGCGCGCTGGGCAGTCGCCCGCGCGCCGCCCTCGACCCCGGCGCGCGCCGGGCCGCGCCCTTCGCCTTCTCCCCTTCCTCGGCGGGCGGCGCGGAGCGGCCTGAGGGGCGGCGCCTTTTGCGGCCGCCGCTGCGGGGGGATGTGAGGGGCGGCCCGCGGACATGGAGACGGGCCCGGCGCCCCTGGTGGCCCCGCCGCGCCGTCATGGCGCCCCCGCGGCCCCTTCGCCGCCGCCCCGCGGCTCTCGGGCCGGGCCCGTCCTGGTGGTGGCTCCGGGGCCGCCAGTGACCACGGCCACTTCGGCCCCGGTCACCCTGTTGGCCCCCGGGGAGGCGCGGCCCGCATGGGTGCCGGGTCCGACCCAGACCTCAGACTCGGCCCCCGGCCCGACGGTCACGGGCAGCACGGAGGTGGGACAGACTCTGGAGGCCTCACCCGATGCCCCCAGGGCGCAGGTCTCCAGCCCGGAGCCCTTGGTGCCCGAGGCTGTGGCTGGAGCCGAGATGTCCGTGGCTCAGGCCCCAGGGGCAGACCCTCCGAAGACAGAGGAGGCTATAACCTCACCCGATCCTGGACCCGGGACCCTCACCAGGACCCCTTCAAGAACGGCTCCTGGGGCCCTGACAGCCAAACCCCCGCTCGCCCCCAAGCCGGGAACCACAGTGGCCTCAGGTGTGACTGCACGGGTTGCAGCTGTGACAGCAGGACAGGTGACAAGTGGACATGGAGCTGCGGCAGCAACATCAGCATCAACTGGACAGGCTCCCGAGAACCCTTCAGGGCCTGGTATAGGCTCTTCAGGGACATGTGAGGCCCAGGTAGCTGTCGTGACGGTGACCCCAGCTCCGGAGCCCACTGAAAACTCTCAGGACCTAGGCTCCATGTCCAGCCTGGGACCTGGCATCTCTGGGCCTCGAGGGCAGGCCCCAGACACCCTGAGCTACTTGGACTCCGTGAGCCTCATGTCTGGGACCCTGGAGTCCTTGGCGGATGATGTGAGCTCCATGGGCTCAGACTCTGAGATAAACGGGCTTGCCCTGCGCAAGACGGACAAGTACGGCTTCCTTGGGGGCAGCCAGTATTCAGGCAGCCTGTGAGTACCCATTGGGCCTGTTTTAGGGAAGCAGAGGTGGGGCGGGATGGGGAGGAAAGGATACACCTTGCCTACACTCTCTCAGCGCATCCTCCTCTGAGGATCCGGAGAGTGACCAGTGGGAGTGAGATGCTTAAGGATCCTGTCCTGCCTAGAGCATCCTGAGGTTTTCTATGGCATCGGCCTGTTAAGGTTTCAGGCCAGGTGTTAGGAGTTCTCGGTTTGAGTCTAAGCCTTGCCTTTGGTGGTGAGTTGCATGCCCTTGAGTGAGTGCCTTCCCCATTGGAGTTAGGGCCTCATTTTCCTCCTCTGTGAAGTGAAAGGTAGAATGAGATGATACCTCCAGTTGTCCCAGCTCCTTGATGGGAATCTCCAGCTATAGGCCGGATAGTCTGGTGGTTTGACCAGACAGGGGTTCTGATAGAGATCGTTGGTCCCTTAGGGGGAAAGTCTGGAGGGATGCAAGCACCTCTCCCTCGTAGCCCTAGGTCTCATGGGGTGATGAGTTGGGGAAGTCTGATGGAGGAGAGACCCAAAGGCAGGGCGTCTCTGTGAAACAGAAGAGCAGGCTTGTGTTTTCACTGAAGGAAAGGGGGTGGGGGAGGCCTCTTCCCCATTTCCTCATCTCCCCAGCCGGGCTTACTCTTTCCTAGTTCCCTCCAGGGGCCTGAGTCACTTCTAAGGTGGGGGTGTAATTACTTCTGACTTCTTCCTTTCCTCTCTTTGGATGCTGCCCATTGGTCCTGTACCCCTTTAACCTGCTGATCAGTTCAGTGTATAGCATCACCAGAGAACCCAAGTGCCAGGCCCTGTGCTGGGTACTGAGGATCAAATAGGCATTTCAAGGTGTTCATCATCTAGAGGGAGAGACAAATACTTAAACCGTTGGTTTCGACGTAATATGTTAGGTTTAGCCTGGAGATCATCACAGGGTTTTGTGAGCACCTAGGGAAGGGATCTTTTGCCCAGTCTGGGAATTCAGCCAGACTGATCTGAACTGTGAAGAATGAAGAGGATTTAGTCATGGCTGTGTGTGTTGGGGTCAGGGGGACCTGCCTGGTATTGGGGGAAGCCCTGTAGAAGGGTATTCTAAAGAATGCAGGGTGTATAATCCAACAACAACAAAATTTCAGAATATCTTCGAGCATCAACATTCACGATCCTGTGTGGGGAAGGCTGGTGCTTTCCCATGCATGACGGAGGCATTGTACCTAATTCACAGATGAAGAAACAGGATTAGAGCAATCCTGTGAATTGCCCCATTCAAATAATTTGGATCCGCGTGACCTATGGTGCTCTCCTCAGCGCTATCATGCCCTAAAGAACTTGGATTGAATTGGATTTTAGTGAGCCCCTCTTGTGTACCAGGCACCGTGCTGGGTGCTAACTCTCTGCTTTGTGATTTTGTCCCTCTAAAATCCATCTTCACGCTGGCAGAATCTACTTCTGAGGTCAGGCTGACCGTGGGGCACATTATCTTACAAGCTTTTAGTGGCTCTCACTGTCCATAGGATAAAATTTAAGCTTTAGCCTGGACACAGGTTCCTTATTTTCAGCCCTGACAGCCTCTCTGGTCTTCTTTCCCACCACTTTTCACCATGTGCTGTGTGCTGTGTCCTGTTGAAGTGATTGTAGTCTTTCTCCCTTCATACTCAGGCTGTATCATCAGCCAGGAATGCCCTTCTGGTCTTTTCCTGCCATCTTTTCCTCAGTCCTTCATGGCTTCCCTCAGATGGCCTTTCCTCCAGGAAACCTTCCCTGATCTCTATCGCCCTTACTTCAGTTAGCTGACTCTTCTGTGCATCTTTGTCATTGCATTTCCCTCATCGCATTGCCGTCATCCCTCTGCTAGCTTGTGACATTTCGAGGGCCGGAAAGGGATCTTACTCCTCCTGGCCTTTAGTAGAGTTTGGAATTGACTTTTAAGATAGAGATTAATGAGAAATCACCTTTCAGTTTAAGGAGCTTCTGGGACAAAAGAAACTAACATTAAACCTTTCATTTAACAGTCCTTTATATACAGTTTCTCAGTAGTCCTCTGGTAACTTGGTGATGTAGGCGGTGGCATCCCTTTTAACAGATAAGGAAGAGACTTGATTCTTACTTGCTAAGACTCCCCAGTTTCTAAGGGACAAGTGGGATTTGAGCTCAGGTCTATCTGGGAACATGTGTTTTCTTCCATTTCACTCACCTAGTGCTGGCTTCTCCGAGTAACTGTTTTAAGACTGATGTGGTATCTTGAGTGTGAAGCTTTGCTAGAACAGTGAGCAGGCAGTGCAAGGAGAGCTTCATTTGCTTGGTAATCTGGGGTGATTCCAAGGAGGAGGAGGTAGAGGAAATTGCAGATGGTTCAAGGGATCTCAAGAGTCTGGTAGAAGGAAACTCAGTAGCTTATAGGGAGACAGATATTTGTTCTGTATTTAATTTTGTGGATAATAATTACTGTTTACTCACTGAGGCCGTGCTAAGTGATACTGTTTTTTTCTCCATCTTACAAATGAGGAAATTGGGGCTTAGAGAGTGACTTGCCCAAGGCCACACAGTGAGTAAGTGGCGAAGGTCTAATGTAAAACATGTGAAGTGAAAGTGAAAGTGTTAACTGCTAAGTTGTGTCTGACTCTTTGCGACCCCATGGACTGTAGCCCGCCAGGCTCCTTTGTCCATGGAATTCTCCATACAAGAATACTGGAGTGGGTAGCCATTCCCCTCTCCAGGGGATCTTCCCAACCCAGAGATCGAACCTATGTCTCCTGCATTGCAGGCAGGTTCTTTACCATCTAAGCCACCAGGGAAGCCCCAGTACAAAGTATACTTTATACATATCCTGTACTCTCTCCCCAACTTTTATGTGTCAGAAGTGGGATTTGAACACAGCCTCTGTACAGATGTCCAACAGGAGAATGTGATCTCTGTTCAGAGATTCCGTCCAAAGGGAATTCCTTTCAGTGGTGAATTAGGGCCTTGGAGGGCCGAGTGACCAGACATCCTGATGTGTTGATAGCTCATAGAATGAGTTTGTGGTCTGGTCTCTCATTGGCGATTGGGAGGTGGCTTGCCTCAGTTCCTCCAGCAATCAGGATTTATACTGCTGTTACTGACTTCTTTCCTACTCCCCATATCCTCAGAGAGAGCTCCATTCCTGTGGATGTGGCTCGGCAGCGGGAGCTCAAATGGCTGGAGATGTTCAGTCACTGGGATAAGTGGCTGTCACGGCGTTTCCAGAAGGTTTGAGAAGGCTGTGGTGGGCAGGGCTGTGGAGGTGGGGAGGACAGAGTGGGCCCACGGCTCTGGGGAAGCCCAGGAACCTGATCTTACCTGCTCTCTGGACCATGTTGGGGGTAGGTGGTTCTTGGGCCTGGGGGAGGAGTAACTAAAAGATAGAAGGCCAGGTTGGGTGTCCCAGGGAGCCTGAGGGCTTCAGGGGAAGGCTTGGAGGCTGTGGCAGTCACTGAAGCTGTTCCCCTGCTGGCCACCCTGCCTTAGGTGAAGCTGCGTTGCCGGAAGGGGATCCCCTCCTCCCTCAGAGCCAAGGCCTGGCAGTACCTGTCCAATAGCAAGGAA